GAACTGGGCAGGGGAATATTTTTATTGTATAATTATAAGTGTATAGGACGAATATATATGTATTTGCATGTGTATATACAATTTTCTCTCGCTTTATACAAACAGAAACGCAATTTATACAATTCTGTTGTATAAAGCGAGAGAGGCGAGCACAGAGGGAGTGAGGGAGAGAGGAGAGTGGCGAGCGAGAGTTTGAGGGAGAGAGGTGCTGACAAACAGTTTGCTACAGGACACAATTAAATCAAAGTGTGATTATACCATTTAATTTGAATTAATAGTTTGCCATTATGTACAATTTTCCCTTTAATATATCAAATTTTAATCCAACCCGCCCATTTGACACCGCAATGCAACATTGAGATTCAACACGTCTCCTAAATACAATTTAATTGGACAAGATTTATCTATGATCAACTGTTTCTCTTCCTTGTCTTTTTTTTTTTGAGAGTCTAAACCAATTTCTCCATTGAACTTTAATATGGAAAATAGTGGAGCTAACTGTAACGATCGTTATCCGTACATACATAAAGAGACTTTTCATTTATGTTGGATTGTATATTGATTTGATGAGTCTTTTCTCAAATGATTTTGTTAATATAATTGGATAGTTGGATTCTGATGGTGATAATAGTGGTACAACTTACCCCTCCCCCGGGCACCCCTCACCTTCCACCAACCGACTCCTAATTTTATTTTATTTTTCCAAAAACAAAAAAAGAAATTTATTTCATTTCACTTATATGGGCTGGATATGGATTCTCATGTTAACCCATTTTGTTCATAATTGTATGAGCTTAAATAGGTTGAAGACCATATTAACCCATTTAAGAAAAGGAAAGAAAGTGATCCATTTAATTTAATATGAGCAAAATGATTTCATTTCAGTTATATGGACTGAAATTGCCACCCCTAGTACAAGGTTGGAAGATGACAAGTAAAATAAGTAAATTGATCAGACGATAGGCCAATCCATTACTTGTGTTTTGTAGGAAAGAAAAATATTTTCAAATTTTCTCATATTTGGTTAGCTTAAATTTTTATTTTTTTTCTGTTTCTCTGCCACTCCAATCATCTACTTCAAATGTTGTTCAAGGATCATTCTTGTTCATTGATATTTAAAACTTGCAGAGTTGTGCTTCTCAATTTAGCACGCACCAGCTTAACATGATGCCTCCACTCTCTAGTTCAGAGCCTCTTCTTCCAAATTTGTTAGGTACCTAATATTTGTTGTTGCTCACCACGTTGAGGATTTTCAGTACACTCTGTCCCAATTTATTCGACAAATTTCTTTTTTCGAGAATGTTTAAATTTGATCGAGAATTTGCTCATGAAATCTTCAAAAAATTTAAAATAAAATTTATATATTTGTAAACAATAATTAATAATTCAAAATATTTAGAAGATATACTTGTTTGAATCTCGAAATCTGAAATGTGTCGTAAGAGAGTAATGAATATGGTGCAAAGAGAGGGAGAATGAAAGAGGGAACAGAAGTGATTTTTGGATCATTATTTTGGGCCTAAAGTGTTTTTAGGATCATCATATAATCCAAAGATGGGTCATTCAAAAAAAATTGTGGCCATATCATGTCATCTTCCCATATAGATAATCTGGCCTTTGGAGTTTTGCTCCAATTAATTTAAGTAGTGAATGTTTATTGCAAATAATTTTCAATGACGAACCCATTTTAGGTAGGTGATAGCTTTTGAGCACGCATCATTCATAGCTATCTAATATACATCCACTCATCCAGTTGTTGGAAGGAAGAACAAACTAGCTCATCCAAACACCTTGAGCAAAGATTATTTCAACAAACTTGTGGTGGATGAATTAAAAAAGAGATAAGTGGGGTGGGGACCCCTCCTATCTTATTTGTAACGCCACAAAGCCAAGTTTTGGATATCATTTGTAGAATGGGCCGTTGCTTATTCACCCATTACCAATTGAGTTTGCTTGTTGAGTGGTGATATATGGAGATTGCAGTGGGTAGAGGTTTCCAAGTTTTGACATTGTCGGGTTCATCTTTTCATGGAAAGAGTATACGTAAAACTTGTGTATCTCTAAAAGGCTTTAATTGGACTAGTGCTAGAAAAGGACATTCTCTAACACCATGCACAACTCTGGTTCAAGCTCACCAAAGGCCAACATGGCTTCCTGGTCTTGACCCTCCGCCTCATCTTGATGGAACGTAAGCGTATTCGTTGCCTACTAATTAACCAACTTTCCTACTTAGTGGCTCATCATATATACTTTCTTTTTAATAGTCTTGCTGGAGATTTTGGTTTTGATCCACTAGGACTTGGAGAGGATCCTGAAAGTTTGAGATGGTATGTACAAGCAGAACTTGTTCATGCCCGCTTCGCCATGGCTGGGGTTGCTGGAATTCTTTTAACTGATGTAAGTAATCATTTAATACTTGTGTAACATTTTTTTTCTCTTTATCCTAACATTTCTGGTCATTCTTTTTAGTTGCTTCGTGTCACTGGAATAAGGGATTTGCCAGTGTGGTATGAAGCAGGAGCTACAAAATTCAACTTTGCCAGCACAACAACTCTGCTCATCATTCAACTATTATTGATGGGGTACAACGTTTAACCGGTTGATAGAATGTTAATTCTGGACAATCTATGCCGGCACTAACTTATCCCTCTCTCTGATTTCTTATATTTACAGGTTCGTTGAAACAAAAAGGTACATGGATTTTCTTGATCCTGGCTCTCAAGCAAAACCTGGATCCTTTTTTGGACTAGAAGCTGCACTGGAAGGCCTTGAACCAGGGTAATTTTAATATTTTTTTGTTTGCCAAAAAATGAAAGGCTTACCCTTGTTAGTGCGGGAGTAGGGGAAGAACCGTATAGGTTGATCCACCACGAGTACTATGGGTTCAACTAAACCCGTTGCTTTCTGTCCAAACTACATTCATAGATGACAGATACTAAATTAAGATGTATACAATATAATTACACTTATTCTAAATACTCATTCTGAACACATAGACTTTAAATTTTGGATTTGCCTCTGAGAGGGCTTATACTCCTACTAAGCATAGCCAGAAATCTTTGACATTTAGCAGGTATCCAGGTGGCCCTTTATTGAATCCTCTTGGAATTGGAAAAGATATCAAGAATGCTAAAGACTGGAAACTGAAAGAGATTAAAAACGGTTTGTTGAGATGCATCATTCTTTTAGTGCTTTTAAGTCTTGTCCAATATTTATACTTCCCTCTGTTTCGTAGGACGCCTAGCTATGGTGGCTATGCTTGGTATTTTCGTTCAGTCTTCTGTTACTCATGTTGGTCCTATTGACAATCTGATCGAGCATCTCTCCAATCCATGGCACAAAACCATTCTTCAAACCATTGCTGGATCGAGTTCTTGATTATTGGAGTTTGTTGAAAACATGGCATACTTAAATGTTTTCATTCAAAGGCCACTCAGTAAAGCAAGCAACCTTGTATAAGAAACTTATGTGTATTTCAATCATGTCCTTCCATTTCTGACTGACTATATAATACTAGGACATATAGAGAACAGTTGTCAATGAAGGAAATTATACGGTATCATATGGTTTCTACAAAAAGATCAAATGACAGGTTATTTGAGGATGATCTTTAGGCCACACCAAGTAATAATCTTACCTGCACCAGGTTTTGCGCCAAATCGGTGAATGCAATGCACATGTCATGCATATAACGTTTTACTGTTAAGGTTAAATTCCTTGGTTTGGTGTAAAGTGTAAACATGGAGATCAGGTAAGTATTTTTCTGACAATGAGTGTATAAGTGCTTTAAATAACTTATGCATCTTCTACCCAACAGAAATGGTCAATATGCACATTTGTTACAATTCATTACAGCATTCGGTCAGGATTGCATGAACAAAGCGGAAAACAAGCAGAATACTATCACAAATGATATGAAAAACTAGAAAATACTAGAATTATACAACCCATACTGCCAAGAAACCCAATATTTCAGAATCTGAGAACTAGCAGGATATAACAGTTGAAGCAGCAGATGATTTACTTACAGAATCACTTTATTGACTCGGCCAAACCTATAACAATCTTACTCTGTTCTATAAACAGCCCTCCAAAAGGTGAGAGAAGTATTTTGATATTGTACTATACATGATGCTCGGGATGTATACAGAAAAACAGTGAGAATTTACACTCCGTCAACCAAGAAAAATAACCAGAAAAATAAAGGGACAGTTGTATAACATGAGGGAGAATCTCTAAAACCCCAAAGCACATCATGCTGTCTTGGCCTGTGATTTCTTTCTTCCCAGAAGCATCAAGAGCCTTGGGAAGAAGGACCTTTTCTTTTTCTTTGGGATCTTCAGTTCTGGAGATGTATCAGTTTCAGTATTACTTCCTCGCTCATATGCTCTTGGACTTGACCTATGATGTAGTGAAGCAGCCTCTGGTGCACGCTCATAGGTTTTCGATGCTTTACTCTCCTCAAAGCTCGTTCTCGGGCTTCTGGTAGTGTTTATCAGTGGAAGAGATTCACCAGCTTTCCGCCTTTGCCCATGCTCAGCCCTCCATTTCCTCAGCTCTTGCTCCACTGCCAATTTCCCTTCCTTGGCTTTCTCTGCCTTCTTCATTGCAATTTCCAGAGCTTCCTTTCTAGTAGTCATCTCACGATTAACCTCCTCCAGCCTGCTTAGACTTCTCAGTTCTGATTCCTTGAATACTTCAATTTGGGTGATAGCAGCAGCCACCCTCTTATTAGCTTGCTCCTCCGCCTCATGGGCCAGCTTGCTGAGATCATAATATTCTTCAAGAGAAAGTGTTACTCCAGATGGGGAATCTTCATCATTGGTGCTTCGAGCTAATTCACTCTCTTGCAGAGCATTGATGGCTTCTAGCGCCAACTTCTCAGAAGCTTTTGCAGCTTCTATCTCCTTATTAGCAGCAATTAGTCTACTTTCCATGGTACTTGCTCCTGCCTTTGCTTGCTCTGCTTCTTCCTTTGCCTTTCTCAACTCTTCACGAGCTGTTTGTGCAAGTGACTTTGCCCGATCAGCCTCTTGGGCAGCCTCTTGCAATTTCTTGGGAAGCTCCACAACCTTTTCTCTTGCTTCTTTCTCTTTCATCTGCACAAGAGCAATCTCTGACTTGGTCCTGTTCAACTCAGCCTCAAGAGATGCTACAGCAATTGATGCCATGCCTTCTCTCTGCTGGATGGAAGCTAGTTCTGATTTTTCTTTATCTAATTCTGCCTTCAATGAAGTTGCAGCAACCTTCAAGCAATTTACATCATCTGTTGCTTTCTCGATGTTGAGTTTCACTTCTTCAAGTTCCCGTGTAGCCAAGGCAACCGCTGCTTGTATCTTGGCATGAGTTCTTTTCTCTGGCTCTGACAGTTCGCCGAAATTGCCATCTTCAACAGTCTCTTGTTTCAACTTTGATTCCATGTAAGCAGCAAACTCAGCTTTGAGATCCAGTAGCAAAGCTGAAGCAGTGTCTAATTTTGCTTTGAGATCCTTTGAAGACAGTATTTGCTGGTTTAGCTTCTCAAGCTCATCTTCTGCCTGCTTTAGTTCTTTCTCCCATGTTAGAGTATCTTGCTCTCTTGCCATAGCAGCTCCAATTCTGTGTTCCTCCACCTCCAAATGTGCAGCTTGTGCAGCTTCTAAAGATTCCTTTGTAGTGATGAGCTCAATAGTCAAATACTCCACTTCTTTCTCAACTTTCTTTGAGGCAGAAACCGCTTCCTCTGCTTTTTGCACAGCATCATATCTCTCTGACACCAATAAATCATACTCTTTATGCAGATCTTTCAACTCATAATCCACAGTGTTTAGCTCCGAAACTGCTGCTTCATGCCTTGCTTTAGCAACTTCAAGCTGCGCCTTGGCTGCAATACTAGCCTCATCAGCAATTCCCTGCTCCATCTCTTCTACCCTGAGTTTGGCAAGTTCTGAGTCCTGTTTCGCTTGTTGTTCTTCAGTTTGTGCTCTCTCCAGGTTCAGCTTCAACTCTTCTATCAGTCTTTTAGTGCTATCTAGTTCCTTCAACACCATCATTTTTGCTCCTTCTGCAGCCTGAGACTGTTTCTTGTACAATGGGATCTCTTCCTGCACATTCGCTAATTCTTGATCGACAACTTTCCTTCTCTGCATTATCCAGAAGTGGAAGATTTAGTTAAAAAATTCATCGTGGGACAGATGTCCAAAAGATGAATGTACAGGTCAGCAAGATATAAAATATAAATACACAATCTAAATAGTCACTTCTTATGGTGCAGTATCCCGGTGAACTTGCAGATGCAATCCTTCATTAGATAGAATCATCTAAAGTGGCTTTCAACACACTCATTTTGATGACAACCAAATGTCTACCTGAGTTGAGATTCAAAGAGTGTATAAAGGGTTCATGAGCTTACCTCCACAGTCTGTACTCGATGAGCCTTCCAGTCAACAATGCCTCCAAACTTGGAAACTGCCTGCTTCACAGATTCAATTGGTGCTGCTGTGTCAATTTTAACTCTGTTAATAACAGAGTTATTAGGGTGCTTAGAATTGGCACTGGGTTCTGGAATCTTAACTGTGAGACAGGAAGCCTTGGTTAGGGACTGACCAGTGTTAGGTACCTCTACATGAATATTATATTTGTGTTTTTGTTCTTGAGTGGATGAAGAAGTTGTTTCAGCAGAAACATGAGAAATACTTGGAGAATAATCTTGTTGAAGTAGTGAGACATTATTTTTTTCTCCTTTTAAAGGATCAGATTGTATGTGGTCAGAAGATTCTTTTTGGTTTTCCTCTTTTAGGGATGCAGGGTTTGAATTCATGGTTAATAAAGGTGAAGCATCATGCTCTTCTGTTGGTCCATCAGTAGTATGATTCGGTTGATTCAAAAGACCACCACCGCAACCCCCATCAGATGATTGCTGCAATGAATCACTTGCTTTTGCATCCAATATAGACGATGAACTGGCTTCTGAGAGAGCTGTTGGAGGCTCTAACGATTTCAGATCCTCTACCAGTTTAGGTGAGGCTTCCTGCTGAACTGTTGGCACAGCTGATTGAACACTTCCTGTTTTAGAAATGTCACCTGCTCCATCAGATTTAATGGAAGGCTCCTGAATTTCAGAGTTTGCTGTTTCATTCATATGTTGCCTAGTTGGAGTTGCACTATGTGAGTGATCCTCCTTCGGAACAGAAACTTCAGGTTTAGGAGCACATTCTTGGGGAGAACTTCCCTTCACATCTTTTGCATCTTCCATTTCCAATTAAGAGCTGAGATGAACCAAAAAATAAAATTGGCAAAGATAAGTAAGGGGATACATAACCTCTCTCAAGTAACCAAACACCTTCCCAACCTTTTACCAGGAGGTGAACTACAGAATTGGAGATATCAAACAGCTGTTCTTTAAGACCCAACTTAAACTTAAGCAATTGCAACTATTTTCTGTACAATATTAAGATCACCTATTTTGAAGTTTCTACACTATAACCTCTACACAGTCATTCATTTCATTTGAGGATTGCTAGTTGGATAACAAAAACTAAGTTAACTTTTGCGAGAAGGTTTAGGGCAACACACCTTACTAAGAATATGAATAACTTCATCCTATCCAACTAAGCTATAATCTTTTTCTGTAAATGGAATACTTATCCTATGTTCACTAGTTAATGCAATATCATTTTTACATTGCCAGCCAAATAAACAAAAAAATACTATCCCACATGAGGACACACTTCCCATAAAGTAATTTTATTTGAACTCTAACTCAATAAAGAATTATGAGACACTTTTTACTTATCGAAGGAAGTGAAGTCAAACAAGATATTCAATTTCAAAAAGAGAAGTACTAGGGATTTCATAATTGAATAACCAGTAAAGTCTTGTCGGCAAGTACATTTATCACATTAAGTTTAACTTATCTAATGGATATTTATATATCAGCTGATCCATGATATTTCCCTAATATTTTCATCAATGAATCGCATAACGGGAGGAGTAAAAGATCACACCAGAGAGGTACAGTCCCTAATTTTTATGCAGTTATTTTAGACCCAGTTGTTGTCTACAACTCGTTGCATATGCATGCTATGGATTTAATAAAAAAGATATGCAGCTGTTCTTCTTCTGATCCATTCCCCTTCCTCATCAACAACATTGAAGCCAGGCAAAGAAAAAAAACAACAAGAAGGAAAATGAGAAATGAAAAAGTAATCAGCCAACGCAGCGGCGGAACCAGGATTTTCAATAAGGGGGTTCAAAATCTAAAAATATAGACACACGAAGTAGACGAAGGGGGTTCGACATCTACTATATATACCTAAACAATTATTTTAACCATGTATAAATCATAGAATTTTCGCCCCCAAGGCCTAGCTCAAGTGGCAAAAGGTGGAGGATTTGTGGCTTAGGTCGCAGGTTCAAGCCCCACACCATGCAAAGCGAAGCCCGGTATTTAAGTGGAGAAGGGTAGAGGGGCGGGCCCATTATCCACCGAGTTTAGAAGGCTGTGATTGGTCCAAAGGGCGGGTCACAGACGGATTTCTCGGTTATCAAAAAAAAAAAATCATAGAATTTTCCGCCGAAGGGGGTTCAAACCCCCTCATTGTAAGGTGGCTCCACCACTGAGTCAACGCCACAAAAAATACATCTGTGAAACTTATTGTCATCCTTAACTTTTTTCTCTTCTGCAGCACTCTCATTAAGGAATAAGGACACACCATTCTATGGTGAGACCAATCCTAGTTTAGGATAGTCCATGTAAAACTTAAACTTCTAAGGCTTATTCCAGTTTTTCCATATAACCAAATCCTTGGATTGTATATGCTCGCTCCTAGAAGGG